TGAGTTTTATCAACTTTACCTTCACTCAAACCATCAAAACCTCATATTACCTGGACATGTGTAAGGCTCATAAGCACATTATTTATGCAGAAGATATGTATGTAAAGTTTTCTCTAGGGTATAAATGATTACATAATAATGACTTTAATTGATTACTTGTTCATAGTCATATCTATACTACAGTGTAGTCTTACATAAACTGTATGCACCCCCCCCCCCCCCCCCCACCTCTGAATCTCTATGACAAGAAGTAAAGATGGGAAAGGGGTTGTGATTTGATGCAACAGCACGTGTATATCTACAGGTAATTCAAAAAGCATAAACAAATATACAGTAACGAATACTGTATTCATTGAAGGATGTTTCTCAATCAATCAATATATCTCATTATTAAATATCTAAAAGAATGTATATTAAACATGTATACTGGTACATAGGTGAAGCCAGGGGGGGTACGATGTAAACATTTTGAAGCTTCTAGCTCAATTTTGAAGGAACTTATAGCACCCCCCCCCCCCGACTGAAAATTGAAATTTTTTGGAGATGGCACCCCCCCTTGACTGAAAGCTGGCTAAGCCCATGCTAGTAGAATATTCCGAACCTTCGTTGAGAGAGTAGAATATATAAAAGGGTGGGGCTTACCAGAATGGAAGTAAATGCCCCAGCATGATTCACAAAACAGGTTCATAAAAGAGACTGGATTCAAAAAAGGACCTGTTTGGTGTGAATGATTCAGAGAATTTTTCTTCTGTATTAACAAACTTCATAATATATGTAGTCTATCATTAGTTCAGAAAATTAGAATATTGCCACCTTGTAATTCTTTAAAACCCGAGGACCCGGGCCTGAGGAGGGAGATGATCAAATGGCAAATGAGTAAAATGTGGCAGGCAGGTAGCCTATTATATACCTGTATCTTCGCTTTACTGCTGGTCTGTGTGGATAAATTGATAATCACTATCATGATTGATAAGAAAGAATGCAAGTGGAATTTGAGATAAGAAATCAATTTTATTTTTGGCACTTTCTAGTACTTACAGGAGGCAGTTAACTTGTTTGGAATGATTACATTAAAGATAATAGCTTTGATTATTTCATTTCTGAGCTAAGATCTGAAGGGAAGAGATTACCATTGGAAACATATGTTCGTGTTTTTTCAAGTGGGCTGTTCTTTCTATGTGCCCTGACCTTCCTCATCAGAATAAGTGTGCGGAGATAAGGATGAGTGTTATTGTATCTTTCTGGTGGGATGCACCTTTACTAAAGGAAATATACAGTAAAACGTGTATGTGCAGGGAATGCTCTCTTTATTCACTGAAGACTGAAGAGATGTGTTACCTCATACTTCTTTTTCTGTATTCTTTTTTGGCTCACACAGAGAGCCTATGGGATTGACCAGGCGTCCGTCCGTCCGTCCGTCCGTCCGTTGGTCCGTCCATCAACATTGGCCGCACAAATTAAAACTGCTATTCGGATTGAGTCCTATCCACATTCATTTTATGCATATCCATAATACCTATCATCGCCATTTCCCAAGTTCGCCCGGTTTCCGAGAAATTGCGGATTTTGACATCAAAAAGTCAAATTTTCTGTAAATACTAGACACTTTGTTGAAGCAGAACTTTCAAATACCTTTTAGTAGTTGGTGTATATGCAACTTATGTCCTCTGAAGATTTCAAAGCTCTTGGAATTACGGTTATTGGTGATTACTCTTTAAAATTTGAAAAAAAGTAAGGAAACTTTCTCATGTATAAAGTCAATGGCAGGTTTTGTGATTGACAAGATTCTTAAAGTTTGCCTTATACTTGATCATTTCCTGCAATAAATTACATCATTAATAGATTTAAGCATTCCCTACATATTTCTCAATATATGTCAGCATCAAATTTTTACCGTTTTTGAGATATTTGACGTCAAAAAACAGTAAAAATAAGTTATTTTTCAACTTGCTTCAATTTGACCAATTTTTTTTTTTTGAAAATCATCTACAAGTTACCAGGAGTTCAAATCTGACATTAGTTTTAGGATTTGATCTTAACTTGACCTTCAGTGACCTTCGAAAGGTCAAAAAACTTGATTTTTCAAATTGATTTTTGGATGTAAATTTTGGTCAGCTTAATCACAAAAGACCTTACTGAGCTCTGAATAAGTAAAATTTTCAAGGTCAAAGGTCATCAAATAGGTCACACAACTATGCTATCTAAGTTTGTCAAAGTTCGAGACTACAAATCCAAATCAATATTTTTGTTTGAAAGTCAGGATATAAATTCCTCTGAAGGTTCCAAACTGTGTGAGCATAGGACCGTGGGTCCTTCATTTTATATTTTTTGAACTCTTGGGTATCAATTAGTCGGAGAAAATGCCACAGCAAGGCCTACAATTGAGCTATGTTTGTATATAATCTTACTTAGCTTTTACTTTTAAAGTTAATCCTTTTTAGATATTTTAATTTAATAGGTTGTTTAATATATTGTCAGTATATTTTAAGGCAATAAAATTGAGCAGTTGTCAGTCTTGCATCCTCTATCTCTTCTCCTGCCTTGAAATTTGTTCACAAACCTTGTTTGAACTTGATCGTTTAAGACAACTTTGACGTATGGTGTATACTGCACCTATAAAATACATGAAAAGTACTTTCCATTAGTTAGACCTATCTCAAATTGATAAATGATAAATGGGCCGATTAAATGCATCTTGCATTTTTCTGACCTATTTCATTAGTAAAGCAGATTGCAGCTAGCTTTATATATGAGATGGCCAGGTAAACCATCCCACCTTGAAATCCTGATTTACAGATGCGAACACACAGCATGAATGGATTGTGTTTCTCACTAACTATGGAAAATTAGGATGTTTTTCAACCATCATAGTACTAAATTATCTGGGTGCTGATTTTTGACTTAACAAGTCAACAGGTCAAACAATTTTGAAAATATTATTTTGATACTGCAGTGTGAAAGTTTGAAATCCTCACATTGTAGTGCCAAATCTGACAAGATTTCTTATTTATTTTTAATTTTTATTTATTTATGTTTATGTGTTCAATTGAAGTTACCAATTTTTGTTTTGTTGATATTATCATATAGTCAGTTGTCTGTATTTTGGAGATAGGATTGGTTGAAAATAGGAATAGCAAGGGAAGGCCATTAAGGAAATTACCAGGATGTCTTTAAAAAATCCTAGCAAGGGCCGTGCACTTTCCCACATTTTTGAATTTTTGATAATTTGAACTGTTGCATTATTTCTTATTCCCATGCTGGCTGGCATTGATAAGTAGTATAAGGTAGAATATCACATCATTTTGAGTGATATCATTTTTATCGCCGAGTTGATATCAAATATCAACACGAGTGAGCGAAGCGAATGAGTGTTGATATTTGATATCTACGAGGCGATAAAATGATATCACGAGAAATTATGTGATATTGGGTTTATCCCATGATTACAATCACCTTGTGATGTTCTGATCCAATTTCCAGGATATTGGCAGACAATATAAACTAGAAATTAGAGAATATCAATTGAATATTTGAAACACTTTATTTTAACAATTAAAAGTAAATAACATGATATAGTTCGTCATAAATACCATTTTTAATCGTTAGTTAGCAGCCTTCTAATCAAATTATATACACGTCAATCGTAATTCAATACACCAATGAAACTTAGAGAATAAATTAACGAACTTATTTTCTCAAAAGAGAATAAATTATCTGACCTAATTTCCAACAATATTGTGGCGCAAAATGCAAATGTGATATCACAGGGATATGCGTGAGATAAACGATATCACACGCATATGAGTTTGATAAACGATTTTCTGGAAAATATCACACGTATTTCAATAATATCAGAAATATCAATAGCTGTTATTGTACAGATAACACATTAATTGTGGGATAAGGTAGAATATCAGCTCTTATCAGTAGAGCTTATTTTAGACTGATCTATGTATATTTTATCATTTAGCATATTTCAAACACCATAGCTCTATGATATCATGTTAATTAATATCATCAGGTATCTAATGATAAAGTAAGGTATTTTACTATATTCCATGCCTATAATCAGGGGGAGCTCTGGGGGTATGCATAATGTATGCCCCCCCCACTCAAATTATGCTGTTTTGAGAATATGCTAGGTCAGATTAGCATGAATTTTGTCATAATTGGCTCTTTGGCAAAATTGGCTAAATTTTGAGTTTTGAATTCTGGGGAAAAATAGAGTCTCTTCCTGAAGAAACTTTGCTGAAATCATATTTATTATTATTATTATTTATTATATTAATGAAATCATGTTGAAAGACCCGCTTTGTCATCTCCATAATTTTTTCAAGTCAAGAGAAATAATTGAGAGAGAGAGAGAGAAATGTAGAGAATATCAAAGTGCATCATTATTGTATCCTCAATCTTGATACATCAAGGATACATGTTATCTCCTCAAAAGCCAAATGAGAAACATCCGTTCAGTTAGTCTCATTATTCAGCTTTATGTCCTGTAAGTTTACTTGCATTTAACATATGCAGCTCATCAAAACAGGAATATTGCAGCCTCTCCATAAGAGTACATCTTTCAAGGGTTATTATACTGAAGAAAAAAAGGGATTCTGGTAAATTCTATTGTGGAACATTTTTAGTTGAAATAACTCTTAGAAATTATCATCATATTTTTATCTTTTTCTTGTACAGTATTTCTTATAAGCTTTATCGTCATCTGTCTTAGAAACATTTGTGATTAATACATCATACGAATTTATAAATTGTCTATGAAGATATATTAATCAACTTCAATTTGATAATAAAAAATATTGGCCCATGGTAGCCCAGATAAATCAGATATTTCTTACAATCTTATCGTGATGTAATTTTATTACTACTCTGTGCTGCAAATCATCATCATGCCCTCAATTCTTATCGCTCATATTTATCGATATTGCATTTATCTCAAAAACCAATTTCAAATGTAAATCAACCAATCAATGTGATTTTTCATTTCGCAGGTTCCACAAGAAGAAAAAGGCTGGAACTGATGTGTGGTTCGCTGAAACATGTGAGCATCTACAAAACAAAAAGATCGCACCCATGGTTCCAGATATATTCGCTTCATACTCCGGCCCAGATGAAGGCCTAACTATTGTCCATAAAAATACTGAAAATGGTATGTACAATTGAGTGTGAATAAAGCCGGTCACACCAGGATTATGCATTTAGAGAATGAATTCATGGGAGGAGAAAAAACATAATTGGTCATTTCTGAGCCAAAGTCATTTTAGTGTGTCATCGTGTATGTATTTCACATTGTGATAGGCATAGCATATTTACAAGAAGGCTGAGAAGAAATGAGATGCCATGGTCTATCATGAAGCTACATTTTTCTTGCAAATTCACTTGATGATCACTGATGTTTTTAGTGAAGAAAATTTCACATCTTGAAGTTATTTTCACAAAAACCTCCCAGTTTTCACTATTCTTCTTCCCATTCAAAAGTTTTAAGACTCCTCAGAAGTGATTTTAGCTAGTTGATATAGCTAACATTTACATGTCAAGAACTAAACATTTTTATTATATTGTACATATATAAATATGTACACAATGTATCTTAATCTATTTGTGGAATATCGCAACAAGACACTAAAACAGAAACAACTAAGAATATTTTCAAAAATTTGATTATGGTGCGTGTTATTTTTTAGGTCCATCCAACAATAGCACAGCTAAACAGAAAACAATCCTTGGTGCCAAAAACTGGTCAGTTAAAAGTCGCAAAGCCTACGCCATATGTATGTCACTTTATGACCAGAACCCTGTCAATGGCAAGATTTCAGGTAATGTAGAACCATGTCAATGGCATGATTTCAGGTAATGTAGAACCATGTCAATGGAAAGATTTCAGGTAATGTAGAACCATGTCAATGGAAAGATTTCAGGTAATGTAGAACCATGTCAATGGAAAGATTTCAGGTAATGTAGAACCCTGTCAATGGCATGATTTCAGGTAATGTAGAACCCTGTCAGTGGCAAGATTTCAGGTAATGTAGAACCCTGTTAATGGCAAGATTTCAGGTAATGTAGAACCCTGTTAATGGCAAGATTTCAGGTAATGTAGAACCCTGTTAATGGAAAGATTTCAGGTAATGTAGAACCATGTCAATGGAAAGATTTCAGGTAATGTAGAACCCTGTTAATGGAAAGATTTCAGGTATACATGGAATTACAAAACACTGTCAATGGCAAGATTTCAATATAATTATAGAACAACATTGTAAAACCCTATCGATTGCAAGACTTTACATGTTTTAAGATCCTCTGAACCTGCCAATGTTTCTGAGTTTTTCTGAGCATATTTCCTTGAAGGTTTTGTAGAGAGGCTATTTCTAGAATTACATCCACAGTACAGATTGTATAAAAACTAAAATCCATGGTAAAACTGTTGTAATTACTTCCAGGGGACCCAATCGCAGATGCTTTTGGTATTTGTGCCAGGAAAAACAATGCTCTCCTAGTTGTCGCAGATGGTGTAAACTGGGGAGAGAAATCCAAGATGGCTGCACGCAGCGCAGTTTATGGGTGTATGAAATACATGCATGAGAAAGTCTTCTGTTCAGGAAGAAATCTCAAAACAACTCAAGTAAGAAACTTTGTATGGATAAGGTTGTTTTCCTCATTTTATTGAGTGTGAAGAGATATAGAAAACCACAAGCTTGAGATTGTTTAAGTGGTTTAACAGATTAAGTTCTAAATATGCCACTTAGCTATGTTTTAATGCTATTTTTGAGATTATATGAGCACATTTGTTATTGTTTTTTATGTTTGTTAATGAATCAATTCATCAAAATATGCTTACTAAAGATCATACTGCCATTTTATCTATAGAGAATTTGATTTTGATGACCTTGTTGTTCAATCTGAAAGTTAAGGGTGATATAACTTTTTGATTGGTAAACTATAGGCATAAACTAATTGTTGCTTCATTTCAAAGCAATATTTATTTTATACTTACATTTAATAATGGCTTTATGAAGATAGCTTTAAGGAATAGTACAAAACTTGATGTCTGCTGATGTTTTGTTCTGATATTTCAGAGTGACCCAAAAAATCCCTTTAAATGGAATCCAAATGTATATTTTTTTTTGTGATTGTGAAGATTATACTTACTTATTTGCGCATAACCATTTGTCCTCCTGTATAAACTAAATCTGATGAATGAAATTTTATATGTATTATTATGTGTATTTCAGGAGGTGTTAGCATGTTTACGACGTTCGTTTGACTGTGCACACGAGACAATTCTACAACAGGAAGCTGGACTCACAACGCTGTGCGCTGCCATGGTAGTCCCACTTAAAGATAAAAAACAATACGCGGTTTGTGTGGTTAATGTAGGTGATAGTTTTGCATTCGTACAGAGTAACGCCAATGGATTCCGTGAAATTACCATAGGCTCTCATGATATTGACAGTGTACGTGATATACGTGATGCCGGGGGTGCACTGGGTCCAGTAGATGGCACTAACCCAGAACTACACAATCTGACATGCTCCATGACTATTGTAGACCCTGGAGATATTGTCTTCCTCACCACCGATGGAATCTCAGACAATTTTGACCCTGTGGTCACAAAGATGGCCGTCCCAACTAAAGATGACGATAGTGACGAGGAGGAATCTGACAGTCCATCCTCTCCGTCATCAGATAGCGGAATACAAGCATCAGCCAATAACAATCCAGTTGACTTTAAGCCTGCCATGACTCCCCAGGAACGTCATCAGTTCTGTGTCAAAGGCATGGAACGGGTTCTACATGAATTTGAATTATTTGCAGAGACTCCATGTTGTGCCCAAGAACTCTGTGGTGCAATAGTACAACATGTTACCCAACTCACAGACCAGAAACGCAAAGTATTAGAAAATCCAGAACTCTATGGAAAAAAATTGAAATCAAGACAACGGAAAGAACGTGATGAGAAAATTGTAGCAAGTATGAGGCAAGCACCAGGGAAATTAGACCATGCAACTATAGTTGCGTATGAAGTGGGAAATTACCATTATGATGATGAGAATTATGATATTGAGAGTAGTGAAGACGAGGAGGAAGATGGGGAAGAAGCAGCATCAATGTCCACTAGTAACAACAGCAATTCAAGCCCAAGCAGGTCCAGGCCAAATTCAGTCTTATTTGAATCAGCCCTTTAAGTGGTCCAAAATCTCAATTGGGTGCCAAAAGATTTTCAACAGGGTGCAAGGAAATTCCAATTCTCAGTGGGGTGTTTCAATGTTTAATGGGGTGTCCCAATACAAAAATACTCTAGGCACAAGGAGTGACATTTTGTCTATATAAAGCCGTTTTTTCTAGTTACAAAGTTACAATTATTGACTTTTAAAGTTTAACTGCATACACTTATGGTGCTGTAGCAAGCAAAAGGGCTCCTGATGAAACAATTGTTGAAGGTCACAAATGTTAACTTAAGCATGAGTATGTCTGCAACACTGAATTTTGACTACCTCTCAATATGACTGTAATTGGCAATATTTATATCTTTTTTTAAGATGTAGTCAAAGAAGTGCTTAAGCTTACATAGTTTTTATTATATTATTATGTCACCATAAAAATCAGTGATGACGTATCGTTGTGGTCACAATTTTTATAACTGCCATTCGACACCTGTGGCCACTTTCTGTCACAAACTGTTACACCTGTAACTGGCATCTGGAACAAATTGTTTGCAATGATAACCATATACTGTATTTGCAATAATTACTTACTAGGTGGTGATATTTTATCATGTTATGCCTTTAAGTTGTGAATATCAATACATTATCTGATATCAGTGATCTAGGGCAAGATGGGGCTGTCAACTGAAGAAATGTTCTTGTGAATTGAGGTCCCAAAATCGGACCTAGGAACTGTCCAGCGCTTGTGGTTGGATTCAGCATGTAGGAATGACTTCGAATTTTTCACAATATTTTGTAATTTATATACATGTAATTTTACATATGTGCCAAACCATCGTAAATTGTAACAAGTTGAGATGTGGAGCTTAATTAAAGGTAGAATCAGATCCAGACAAAATTGCAAGCAAAAATACAATTGACCCACCAATCTATTCCTTACAATCTCAAATATAATATCTCAGAAAAGATCATTGATATGTTATTTCATAATATATTATTGTAAAATCTTAAGTTTTCCTGAAATAAAGTATGTACTTTGGGGATTTTTTGAAAAAAGACATGACAAGGAATGAAATGAACCAAAGATTTTCTAAAATTGAAACAATTTTTTTTGTTTTAGCTTGCTCACTTGATCCGATTATCTCTTGTATTCTACCATTTTGTCAGCAGTGTCAGAAATTGAGAGAAATGTTCAACATCAGTATTAATCACCCACCAGAGGTTTATACTCAAAATCCAAGATTACGATTTTTAAAATTAAGTAGGTTAAAATAGGTTACATACTATACATTGTTTCATTTAGGAATTGTGGTTCTCAAGAATATTTTGAGAAAGGGACAAGTGCAAGTGAGGAACAAAGATAGATTTTAAGACTCAGCGTGGAATGGGAATGTTCTATGTAGTTTTCCATGACATACATTATTCAAACGAGCAAAAATGCAAAATCTAACATTTTTTGAGCCAACATTAATGGTCACATGAAACTAGGGCAATCGTGCCAACTATGAATTACTAGATCTGGAAATGTATAATTACTGTATAAGGGGTATTTAATCTGAGCGGTTTTGCCGAATTTTCAAATTTTATAATTTTCCTAAGTTTGATTTTCCTAATAACAAGAAACTTCCTATTGGATTATGCATTATGAAGATAATATTTCCGACATTTAATTTTCCGAACTTGGCAAAAATTAGGCAATTGGCAAATTATATGATTAGGCAAAATTACCACTTATACAGTATTCTAGTAGTAATGTAATTGACATCTTTATTGATGTTTAGTTTGTTGGTTTCTTAAACTGCTAAGCATGCATTGATCAATATATAAATAAAAAATATGAGCAGACAGGTCCTTCAAAAAGTTTTGTGAAAAATATGTCCAGCGCTTGTGTTGATCTCACTTTTTCTTCTCATGATATTCATTTTAAAGAATTTACATTTAAAATTGTGGTAGAATGTGGAATGAAATTTTTTATTAAACTTATAGAATGACCTGATACAATATGATCACATTCCCTCTTAATATCAAGAACAGTTAGATCTAGCAATGAACATGACATATGCAGAACATTTACACGGAGGTGTTCTAGAATTAAACCGAGTTGTGCTTGTATTTTGTCAATAATAGTTATGATAATGTATGAAGAACATTGAACTGATATGTATTTTGTTGAGTTGTTATGTTTTGAAATTCCTATACTCATGTGGACTCTTGTGTTTTAGGGAAGTAATTACCACTCATTGATCATCATTTTATTTGTTCAGAACTTGAATTGTTTTGAAATTGAAATAATTCATGTTTCATGAGTGGCTTTCTTGCTTTTTAAAGCCCAGTTCTAATTACTACCAACCATTTTGAATAGGTTTTTACAATTGTTAAGATTGATACATATGCTAGCCCCACTATTGAAAATGCAAAATATGTACTTTACTTTCTGTAAAAAAAAGTAATTGTGTCATACTGCAATCTTACCGATTGTCTGTAATTAATGAATGAAAATTGATTGAGTTTTGTTTCAGGTGCATGTAGTACTATAATGCAGATTCAATTCTATTGCAATGACTATGATGTATATAAATGAATGAACATGCTTGTTTATGAAATAAATGCGACTACAAGTCTCCCAGTAGTCTTGCTTCAGTCTCTCATCCCCTTCCCCCTCCTTACAGCCACACCTACACACGTTGTGGATGAGAAGGTATGGGGAAAATGAGGTATACAATTACGTATACAATTACAAGAGTTTGAGTTCAGACCTACACTATGAAGAGAAAATAATCATTTATTCTTATCCATAACATCAAGTCAATCAAAATGCAAACCTTATCAATAGCTATACTGTAAAATTATCATGGCCCATACCAATCCCCCCCCCCCGCCAAAGATTTTCAAAATTATGCAGTTTTTCACCATTCTGAGCACCTTTCAAGTGATTTTGAAAGTAGGCAAAGTAGTTAAAAGTGAACTGGAATTTTTAAAAAGTGAACCCCCCTTGGCAAAGCCTGACTACTTCAGGGTTACAGAGACATGATGCAAGGCTACTGCAGTAGTTGTAATGCATGGAGGGAGAAAAATCTCCATTCTCAGTTTCGTTGTAGATAATGCCAAATGCAATACATGTATTTTGTTTGAAAGTGTGTATTTATACAAGATTTATCATTAGCTAACACCATATACATAAAATACAATAATTAGCTAATGTTCAAGGAACGAAATGATTAACGAAATAAATCAATTGAAATTATATGAATTTATTTTGTACAATATGTTATTGATAAAGATAGCTGAACATTGAGAATCTAATGATGATACAACATTTATAGCACAAAATTCTCTATTCTGCAAAACATTATTACATGTACATGTACATTAACATGCACAGCTATGCAGTTGCTGGGTCACTTGAAAGATGGCACTGTCATCGATTTGTACATTGTATATTTGCCACCTTTCAATTAGCTCAGCACCAAATTGTATAAATATATACTAAGTTTTCACAGCCATCCAGCTTTCATTTCACACCAGTGTGAATTGTGGATGAAGAATTATTTTCCATTCCCTTTTTATAGATGGCAGACTGATAGCTTTTTATTACCATCAGTATTCATGTGGACCTTTCGTGATATCTGTCTACAATACAATAAGGTTTACTCTGTCATTCATTTGTTTGATGGTATAATAATATCAGTGTTAAAATCCAAAATACATGATTCTATCTTTATTCCTATTTACACTACAACATCTTAGACCTGTACTAATCCATGTATAATCACATAGCACCTTTGTAACATAACTAAACTACCATAGAGGTTCTGCCACTATTCTGTACAGTAATGTTCTTGGTCCTAATTTATACTGAGTGACTTCCATTTTGACATCTATCCACACACTGGCTTCATTCCTACAAGGTTCTCTGAGCATGTTTTGGGCAGGTTGATCACCTTCAGTATTGCCTCGCAGACATCATTTAGGGGAGTTATGCACACGCTGAAGGGAATGAGGAAGATGTACAACCAGGCGAGGAGCCCTGCTATTGGCCAGGCAAGCAGGATAAGGATAAAGAACCAGCATATGGACCATAATATACCTGGGCAAGCACCTCCTTTGCCGCTACCTTCACCCTGTCCCATCCTAGGTCACTGGAATCAAGAAAAACATGTTCATCAATGCAATGGAAATTATTGTGTTTGGATAAGAGCTAAGAATATGTAAAAGGAAGGTTCAGTTAATGAATGGAATCATTTGAAGAGAACACAATTTTTGAAATCAATATGATTAACAGACATGTCTTTTACATCATCTTTTCATCTTTGATCTCGTGATTTTCACCGCACAAATTGAAAGTTGTATCTTCTTTATATATGGGTATAATTCCATCTCCATGGTTTTGTCAATAGAAACTTCAAAGAATATGGTGAACTGAATTCACCAATGTTTTTCTCTTAAACCAATTATTGAAAACACCTTTATGTAATGGTCACTGATTGACAAAAATTTAATGCAAAAATTAATTAAAATATATTTTTTATAACTGTTTTTGTTAACTTTTTTCCTTTCTACCAATTCTTGAAAATGAAATAAAAAGATCTTTCCGAACCTTGTTAGAACAAAATAGCATATACAACATTTTCTTAGACCTCTCAATATTATAGGAATACAAAGGAAAATTTGGTTGATTTAACAAAAAGTATTTAAAAAATTTAAACAAAAACTCCAAAAATGGATAAAAATTAAAGTAAACCTTTTATTTTTAAGATACTTTTTTTAAATCAACCAAACTTTCACTTGTACAATTACAATATTGAGAGACCTAAACACATGATGTATATGTCATTTTGTTCTAATGAGGTTCGGATAGATGTTTCATTTCATTCCGAATATGTGATACCAAGATCAAAAGAAGTGTCTGATGTGTTTTCTTAAATAATATAGAGAAAATTATATATATTTCTTTCAAATTAAACTACTGTTACCATTCAAAAGATGATCATTAGATTGACGATGTGTAAAATTTTCAGAATTTTGTGATGACTGGTTTAAGAGAATCATGTGTTCAATTCAGTTTGCCATATCAATACCCTATATCCTTTTTATCCTTTTCTACTATAATATACTGAGTTTTATTATTGATAGCAAAAGATATGTTCCTATTGGAATTAATTTGTTATTTGTTGTCCTAATCATTCTTTCATTCTGGTTGCACAAATAATTCACATTTTATCATAGCTTCACTTATTTTAGAAAAAATATAATGATAAAAAGCATGCTGAAATGCTAATTTAATTCATAAACATTTGTATTTGAAATATAGATTTGGTGGGGTTACCAAAATAATTTTAGACCATTTTTGGAGCAGGAAATGATTGACTGTGTTGTATTGTTTACCTGTAATACACAATACTCCAGGTGTAATAATCATAATAACTTACCTGGAATATGATAATATATAATAATATCAAGGAAAATCCACACCCTGAAACCTTGTTAGATCACTTCTAATGTATATCCTAATACAACTTGTCATCAAAGCTATCACCTCTGGAGCCAATCTAAATTCCTGAGAATTGTCATAAAAATCCAATGTTTGCTTTTGTTGTAGCTCTAGGGAGTGTGTTAACAGGCAACTAGGGGACTTTGTACCTATTATCTCTGCACATTTGTACTAGCTGCCAGATTCCTCCTATAGAGTTTTATATTATCAGATCTACGGTATAACCTATATCAATGAACGTATTTTGCTATGTATGGATAACAATGCATATATACTGTTTTTATGAGGTCACTTGGTGAGCTATTGCAATTACCACTTATCTGTCTGACTGTCCATCCATTTTTCAAGTGGAACGTTTTAAACCTAGCTCTGATTCTACCATTGGAAAGTCAGATATTCTTCTTTTTTTAAAATCATTATTTTGAATTGTTAACAAGGGGTGTACAGTACTTTAC